AACGTCAGCCTTTCTGCTCCTATGATGCTGCTTGGCCTGCTGTGTTCATCCAGCCCTGCACCTTGTTGTCTCATGGTCTTACAAGACCGTATGGCTGCTCTCTCGTTAGAGAGGCAACTGGTGGTGGTTTAACCTGACAGTCACCACACCTCAGGCAAAGGGAGAGGTTGAGAAGGAGAATCCTTCATCGTAGTCTCAGCTGGTGCAGGTATTGAATCCATGCTGTTGGTGTCAATCTGCATCACAATCAGCCAACTGAGCTAAACCAATCCCCAGCTGTAAAGGTAGTTAATGAAAGAGTAACATTTCTTCACATTTTTATTTCTTGCCTTTGCGGTCAGCAAGCTTAAACAACGGGCAGCTGGTCCATTAGGACCCAGTAAAGTCCAGGACAGCTTGCCAGTCTGTGTTGACTTGCTGACTTTGAGGAAGTGGCTCCATGCTACAAGGTAAATACAAGATCAACCAAGTATCCCATTACAGTCATTCCAGGGCATCTGATGTCAGTTTACACCTATATCTTTTTTATGAACCTATTCTGGTATGGCATGACCTGCATAAGCACAACACTGACTTAACTACGAAGGCTGGAGTAGTTGAATGGCTTTCCCAACATTCAAAATCAAGAGTCAGACGTGAAGAATTATTCCTTGGTTGAAGTACAATTAACATCACAGGCCACAGCACAATAACAAACAATCTAATTTAGGACATGAGGGACAGAATTAACAAGAATGGTAAATTAACTTAATAAGAACTATTATTGGCCAAGATAGTGAGGCCATGAGCTGAGCTTTGACACATTTTAACCGCAGTGGAGAATCTTGAGAAAAAGAATCAAATTGTATTCGTTGCAAACTACAATGTACACACAAAGAAAAAAAACTAAATTGTGGACATTTAAGGTTGAAAGCAGAAATTCTGGAAATGCACTGTGAGTTAAGACAGAAAAACAAATTTAGGTATATCTTTTTGTGTTTCGCTCCTTATCAAGTAGGTGCTAATTGTTAACATTGCACCCACAAACTTTAAACAATCAGGTGAATGCTCACACCAGTGCATAGAACACATCTACACATTTGTAAATCAAAACGCACGCAGGAAGGTGCAGCTTAAAAACTATTTCAGAATGCCTACCCCCATTCACAGCACTTTCAACTGGAATAGGAAATTATTTCTAAAAGTAACTACTTTTTTATGAGATCATTCATATTTTAATTGAACTAATGGTTAACTGTAACATGGAGATATCGAGGTCATTGAAGTCACAGCTAAGGATACGTTTCTAGTGCAAGAATTTTCAATTAATTGAACTTGTTCAAAACATAACATACTATTAAATCAAGATTAAATTGCAAGATTCCACCATTAAAGCTAATTCATTTCAACAACAGGAACTATGGGAATAAAAATTGAGTGGATTCCCTTCAGATCCATTTGCCTCCTTCACGGCCCAAGGAAAAGATTAGATCACCAGGTGTTGGTTTTAATAGTTGATAAGGGCACAATAAAATGAGGAATCAGAGAAACAATTCTCTATTTGTACTATTTTAGATCTCTAAGTGATGAGACAAGGAGTGAGGAATAGCAGGAATGTGGACTGGAATGTCCTGGTTAGTGAAGGCAGCTCGGCACCCTCGTTTATCCAAGACTGTGAAATCCAAGGACATAATTACTGATGACATGAACCAATCCTTGGCCTTTTCTTTCACCACCACTACCTGATCCATTGACTAATCACTGATTCTTAGTGATTGCGTCCAGTGATTGCTCTTGCCAACTTGATACCAATCTACAAACACCAAAGAAAAACAGAGCATGATTGGGAAATGGCTACAACTGAACCAGAAGTGCATTGCCACAGATTGGCAATTCTTACTTCCCATCAACTTAAAAATGATGCATCTGATTATTCTTCTCTTGAGTGTCCCAGTGATTTGATACAGGTTGCTACTGACACTGGTTTGTTATAAAAGACATTTCATAAAGAATAACAAATTGTTGCATCCCATCAAGTAGAGGACAGTAGTGAAAAAAGGACAATAACAAAGAGAACAGAGAGATAGAAATAAACAAGACTTAGTCTAGCATCAAGCTAACATAAATACGGGACTGAGTCATAGGGATCTTCAAAGCCCCTGGCCTGACCCGTGTTAATTAATGTCAGACTGGGTGGCTTTAGGACACTGCAATAGCCTGCCAGGTTCCCAGGCTGAGGGAAATTGGAATGTTGGTTTTGGACCACACTGTCCATTGCTAGCCACTGACCACTGGAATGGACAGTGCCAGGTGAAGACAGGATGGAGCACTCACACCCAAATATCTTTCATTCTCTTAAGCTCAGATATGAAATATGGTCATTTGAGTGAGGTTGCCAGTAAATGGTTGCCACTTTCCACAGGATTGTATCACATGACAAATCATCAGAAGACGAGTATGGAAAATAAACAGCAAATAAATCACAAGGGGAAAACACCAATAAACATGTCCCACCCATTGTCATTACCTTCCGACGGTGTTTCCTTAAGTCACTAGGCTGAACATCGGCCGCATGAGAAAGGAGAGAAAGACAGTCAATGAGGAACAAGTGCATCAGGTCAGGTTAGGAAATGAAAGGCACTGTTTTTGAAGGGAAAGCTGTATTGCAGCCCAATCTGAGCCCCCACCAGAGGTAACATCAGCGAGAGTGAGGTCAATGATATAACATATACAAGAAATTTACCAATCCAGGCTGTTTTTTAAACAATCTGCAAAGTTGCCCATCAATTAGTGCTGCTTTTTCAATTTTTCACTCAAGGCAGAACCAATGCTGAGCATTCAGTTTGCAACCCTACAGCATAAAACATGAGGTATCAAAGGCTTAAAGTTCAAAACATTTGGCATCTGGATAGATAGCAAGCTTTCTTGAAAACAGCTAGCTGAGTTCTTGATTCCAAACCAGTAGTCACAAATCACTTCTCCTTTCTATTTTTTTTGGGATGGAAATGCTTTGAAAATTGATTTTAAACAGGGAGCATAAGAACATAAGAACTAGGTGCAGGAGTAGACAATTCAGCCCCTCGAGTTTGCACCACCACCGAGGACGATCCTGGCTGATCTCATTTTGGGCTTGACCCCAATTCCCTGCTCACTTTTCATAATCCTTTAATCTATTACTATTTATAAATCTGTCTGTCTCTTCCTCAAACTTACTCAATGTCTTAGCATCCACCACACTCTGGGATAATGAATTCCATGAATGCATGACTCTTTGAGACAAGTAATTTCTCCTCATCTCTGTTTTAAATCTGTTACCCCTCATCCTAAAACTATAACCTCTTGTTATAGTTAACAAAAGCAATCACATCAATAAGGAAACCAATGCGGACACGTTGGAAAGACTGGTGCATTCTGGGATCATTGATCTTTTTACGGAAGATAATTCAGCTGCTATATGTTGTACATCTCTGGAAACCTGCAAAGCCATTCTGCTTTTGGTTACTGAGTGCTATTTAAATAAACATTTGGCCTATTCGCATGAGTGGCTAATGATAAATGTTTAGATATTCAGAAATATGATAGCTGAAGTGCTGATCGAATGGATTTTGGCTGCTTTTTACCCCAGCAACATGGACTGCTCTGAAATCTTTGCTAAGATGGAACAGTGTTCAGTAATCAGGCTCAGGGATCAATGCTGGACAATGAATAAGTATAGGATATAAAAGAGAGCTTAGCTTAATCAATGTGCTCTGTACACTTGGAACAAGTAAATTAGCCAATAAAAATACATTTTGAAATATCTTGGCATTTGAAAATTGTGCTAATAATCTAAAGTATTTGATGAATATGTACTTCATCATGATTTCATAACTTTCTGTGTTACAAAGGTGTTTACAAATTAATATTTTTGAGGACTAGTATTTAAAAGACTGTGAAACCCATTTCATTTGAAAGACTGGGAGATGCCTGGATTGAGTGATTTTTTAAAAAATTACGATACTGTACAGACACTTTGGACTTTTCTTTTAAAAGAATCATGCACTCAAAGAGAATATTAAGCTAAGTAAGCTGTGGAACCTTACAGAGAATGAAACGGCTTGTTTACAAAGAAGTCACATGTCTCATTTCTGGCTGACAGGAGTTTTGGGACTTTGTTTGGAAAAAGCAGTCAGAATGTAGCCTGCTAAGAAAGAAGACAAACAACTCATCCTCTCTGACTTTTTTTGAGAAAACTCTTCACAGAAGCCAGTGTAAAAGCTGGAGAGAGTGAGGCAGCAATTTTCCTGAGAAGCTTCCAGAGGACTTCCTCTCAACATGTCTCGAATGAACTTTTTATGAAAAGATTGCAGTAAAAATCACATTGAATCTAGTAATGTCCATTTACATATATCAGGACTCCAGACCCAAAGTCATTTGGAATATTTCATATCTTAATCACTTTCATTGATCCAAGAATGAACAATTATTTACCCAAAAAGATTTTGTTTTGAACAGTTGATCTTTGCAGAAAAAAAGTCTTTTTTTCTTTCATGCGCACAGTTAGAAGGGTTAATATTTATCTTTTCATATTTCAAACTATGAGCTAAACAGCTTTCCATCTTTATTGAATAACCTTGTCATGTTGATAATTTTGTTGTTTATTAAGGTAACTTGGTTCATGGACTTCTTTGTATTCTGAAACTAATACTGAAGTAGTACATCACTGGTCCCACTGATAGCAGAGTGGAACGTTTACATGTATGTTGTGGCCAGGGCAGTAGTGGAACTAGAGAGAGCAGCAATGCACACATCCAACCTCCATCATAAAACCTGTTATGATTGCATCAAGATGTGTTTTGTTTTCTAATTCCACAATAATTTCTTAAACATCAACTAGAAAGGCAGTTGCTCCTTTCTTTCTCAACCTGGTACCCAAATTTGATTCCACATTGGTGTGGTTTGCTTCAGTTTGGGTAAGACTTCCTGCAATAGCACAAATACTTGAAAGCATAGATTGGACACTAGCAAGGCCCATATATATTCTCCTGGAAGACACAACAACTCTCCCTTTCTCATTCAGTGCAGCACTCACCAATGTCATGATGCCCTTCCGGTCCAGGTCATGTGAAGAGCTGCGTGGAGTAAGTTTAGGTGTGGAGCGTCCACTGACAGGTGGCGAAGAACTGGCGAGAGATAGGGCAGTGAGGGAAGTTGGAATGGAGGTGCCTGTTCGAATGCGTGTTAAATTTAGCCCATCCATGCTTCCACTACCCACACGGCACTCTATCTCCTCAGCTCGTTGCTCAGTAGACTCCTTCTCCTCTTGGATCATTCTAGCATGGAAAAGATATGGTCAAATTAGTCTTCCAAGGGCAATGATTATTTAAATATGATACAACTACTTACAAAACCATTCAATAATGAACTGAATGTCTTCATTGACATATGTTATAATATTAACTCATGTAACCAAGATCTTGTTATACCACAGTACTGCAATAATAGTATGCATATGACAAAAAAAATCAGTATTCAAATTAGCTTATGAAGTAAGTTGCACATCCTTATGAAACATAGTAGATAATTACTCATGATGCAACTGTTTTGTTGTGATAATACAAAGCTATCCTCACAATGACTTTGCAAAATTTTCACACTCAGAAACTGCCTTGCCTGATTTCTTTATTGATGGCGTCAAGCTGCTCCTGTAGCATCATGGCTAGGGTTTGAGCGTCTGAGTGTCCGCTAGGTGAAAGCAGGTCTGCTGAACTGAACATGGTCTCTCCATCTTCGTCATCAACATCAGACATTTCTGGGTCACTTTCAAAGGTGTGTGTCACACTGGTCATCATGCTTGCCTGCTGAGCACATTCCCAGTCCTGCTCATTTAGAGCTTGAATCTGCATTGGCATAAATATAGCAGTCAGTCACAAAGTGTCACTACTTGGTGTAAATGTACAATTATTATGTAACTGGGCTACGTTGTTTGAATTCAGATTTATGCTAAAAGTTAACGTTATCTTGTTCCATGAAATGCCAAGATTTCTATTAACACCCACAGTTGCCAGAATGTAGGGACTTTACTTTGGCACAATGTCAAGGGTCAGAAAGCACTAGCAGGAATGGTGTTCAATTTTGTAGACAATACCAAAATAAGCAATTTGGTAACCGATTCTGAGGATCAGTGAAACCTCCAGAAGGTTATTGATAAGATGATTGAATATAAAGAACAACCGTCACATTAAGTTCAATGCCTGTGAATAAGGGGTGCTAGGTTTAGCTTTGAAAAAGGAGAATTTTACATGGAAGATTAGACAGTATGAACAAACACAAGGATTTGTAGGCATATGTTCAAAAAAACATTAAAAGCTGCATCTCAAAAGTACAAGGCTACAAAAAGGTAAATGGAAGATTTAGTGTATAGCAGGAGACATACAATATTAAATTCAACATATGATGCCAAATCTAGAATGTATATAGTTGCAATAATGTATGCAGTTTTGGGATCCACTATAATAGAAAGGGAACAGCCAAATATTAATTCACTAGTTTGCTGCCAATTTGGGGAATCTCAAATACAAAGACTTGGATAATTATGGCTATTTTAGTTAGATTTCAGGCCATGAAATGGTGATTTGGTAAACGTGTTCAAGTTAAAAACACTTTCTACTGCATCAGTGAGACTACAGCAACACAGATTACATCTATGTGATTTAGGATGGTGATAAGGAATTTGTTTTCAAAGCAGAAAGCTTAGAAATGTGTAGTGGTTGAGGCAGAGAACATTTTGGCATTCAAAACATTAGATACATGGTTGAGGGATAAAGGAATCTGGAAACAAAGCAAGTACATGAGATTAGGACAATGCTTGAATGGAAGATAAACTTGAACGTGCACTGATCAGATCAAATGGCCTGCTGATGTGTCCTAATTGCCTTTCAATCCTATGTAAGACGGAGTCTTAGAAGCTGTATGTCTCTTTACAGAAAGAACGATTCATCCAGAGCTTTGTCATACATAGTCTATTTGACAACACTGGCAGTGGTCTGGGAGGTAGTTACCTGCTTAAACTAATCTCCCAGGAATACTTTATATGCTAATGAGAAAAATGTGGAATGCATGAAATTAAAATTAATCAGTTTGATGAAAAAAGAATGCAGAATATTTCAACTGACAATGCAAGAAAAGGAAAATGCTAATATTAATTGAAACGTAAAGGCTGACACAAACATTACTTTGTTCACTAGTAAAAGAAAACAAGCCATCAAGACAGCAAGCTCGAAGGTAGCTTACTAAGAGAGGACCTAAGATATTCAGTTTCATCTGGACCTATGTATGATCCCATTGGTATCAACAGTCTGGAGAGGGAAGGAGGGCTGAGAGTGATCTAGTGTGTCTAGCTGCTTCATTGGCTTAAATCCATCAGGAGTTACCAACAGAGTTGTGTGTGGTAATTAGTACCAGAACAAGTGAACTCTTGTCACATATATCACACAGATTGGTCAGGTTATGGAGGCTTCTTTAGAAATTAAGGATACAAGATGGATTGGGAAAACACATCAATATTGCATAATCAGCACTTTCTGTTTAAAAAAAAAACTTGCTTGTTTTGAATTGTTTCAAAGCATGTACATTAATTGAGGGTAAAGGAGAAGTGATGTGGGATAGGGGTGGTCAGGGTATTTAGGCCACAAGTAAATTTCTATTTATTGGTTGGTTTACATCTTTCCAGTTACCCAACTACACAATAATTACAATATTTTTAATAACTCCCATCTAAAATTTTTAGACACAAAATCTCTTCAGCACTCTTTTTAGTTATACCTCTTGTCCTTTCTGATAGGAGATCTGTGTCCAGCTATATAGATAGGTATATACAAAGCTATAATATAACCCATTGGCAGGTGGAAAGATTACAGAAATTAAGAGTGTACTGCTATGCAACTTTATGTCAGTCTATCATTTATAAGTGTGGGTTTCCCCAAGATCTAAGGAGATACAAGTGAGATATAATTAAGCTACTCCTGGTATAGTTATCAAAATGCTTTTACACAAGAGATTCCTTAACACACAAAAGCTCGAGATCTTCCTAATAAAAGTTTTTTTTGGACTCAGTACAAAACAGCAGCATTTACCATCTGAGACACAGAAGGTACTTATTCATGTTAAAACAATATGCCTTCTAAATAGCTCTTTTAAATGGAATACAAGTCCCCAGAGTATCAGGTGGAGGCTTAGCACTTGATAAAGTGACAAACCCTTGGTAAATAAACTGAAAAGCTCTGTAGAATTTTAATAGAGAAGGAGAAGAAATTGGGTAAAAAAAAAATGAAGTACCATTATTTTTGCTAAACTATCAGTTCTTACTGGGACACTTGTAATTTGCTGCTCACTCGTTCTCTTTAATAGAGGAATATTAATTCCAGAATTAAACCTTAATACGTTCAGTTAGATAGAGGTGTTTCTATGTAGCTGCTGTTGATTTGGTTTAGAGAAATACTGGAAAATAGGATGTAATAGGAAGTAATCATCAATCTGCTCAGACTGGATGTACAAATTAAAAGTAATGAAATTAGAAGCTGGGAATTATTCTTTGCTTAACATCAAAGGGGCTGTGACAGCAAAACGGAGATACAGAATAATATTAACATAAACACACGCTTAGTGAAGTCCACTGAAAATTTTACATTTTAAAACAAACATTTTGTATTCAATACCTGAAAACAATAATTTCAAGTTAAAAGTTTATTACCAAAGCTAAGGAAAAAATTAAAATACATCATTATAAAATACAATGACATTTGAGGAACATCATAATTTTCTGGTGCAAGTAGTGTTAATAAACCTGCGAAAGTTAATGGTCACTAATTTATTTGTACACAGGATTTCTAAGAAGGTATGGTTAGCAAGTTTGCAGGTGACACCAAAATTGGAGGTGGAGTGGAGAGTGAAGAAGGTTACCTCTGAGTACAACAGGATCTTGATCAGATGGGCCAATGGGCCGAGGAGTGACAGATGGAGTTTAATTTAGATAAATGTGAGGTGCTGTATTTTGGAAAGGCAAATCAGGGCAGGACTTATACACTTAATGGTAAGGTTATGGGGAGTGTTGCTGACCAAAGAGATCTTGGAGTGCAGGTGCATAGTTCCTTGAAAGTGGAAATGCAGGTAGATAGGATAGTGAGAAGGTGTTTGACACACTTGCCTTTATTGGTCATTGCAATGAGTATAGGATCCACAGTTCTTTTGGTTTTTAATGAGTATAGGAGTTGGGAGGTCATGTGTAGGATATTGTTTAAGCCAGTATTGGAATACAGCATACAGTTTTGGTCTCCCTTCTCTTGGAATGATGTTGCGAAACTAGAAAAGGTTCAGAAAAGATTTACAAGCATGTTGCCAGGCTTGGACGGTTTGAGCTATAGGGAGAGGCTATTTTCCCTGGAGCATCGGAGGCTGAGAAGTGACCTTAAAGAGGCTTAGAAAATCGTGAGGGATATGGACAGGGTAAATAGACAAGATCTTTGCCCCGGGGTGGGGGAGCCCAAAACTAGAGGGCATAGGTTTAAGGTGAGAGGGGAAAGATTTAAAAGGGACTTAACAGGCAACTTTTTCAAGCAGCGGGTGGTGCTTGTATGGAATGAGCTTCCAGAAGAAGTGGAGGAGGCTGGTGAAATTACAACATTTAAAAGGCATCTGGATAGGTACATGGATAGGAAGGGTTTAGAGGGATATGGGCCAAACACTTGCAAATTTATTTATTTATTTAGACTTATTTAGGTTATCTGGTCAGCATGGGCGAGTTGGACTGAAGGGTCTGTTTCTGTGCTGTATATCTCTATGACTCTTTGACTCTAACATATTTCCTCGGAATATTTCTCAGCTCAGATCCATTACACTGGTCATATTTGTCAATTCAGCCAAGCTCAGGTTCACCTGAAATTCCTTAGTTGTGCAAAAGCACCCACTTACTGCACTCTCCATTCTATTTTAACAGTAATTCACCGTGTGAAATATCTGAATACATTTCTGAGGGCTTAAAAAAACCAAGGCATCAGGACTGCTGCAGCATTTGAAGGACAGATTCAATAGCAAAGGAATGTAAACTGCTGATTTACTCATATTTTCAACAGTTAAAGAGCAGAAGAACTACCAATTTCTGCAATTTTCAAAGAAGCCGTCTCTATACCTTGGTAGCTTCATCCCGCAGAGGTGTGAAGCGCCCTTTCTGAGCTCGCCGTAGCACGTTTGGTGTCCCGTAATGATCAGATGGTGTTTCTACCACAGAACTGTGTGGGTACCTCAGATCTGTTGCACTGCCCAGGTGAGACCTGAAAGGAAGCATTCTGATTACTCTTTCTAAACAAAGGGTGAATGATATTAGTTCCAATTCATTTAAACATGTTTCTGAGAATGTCACATCCTGTTAACCCAACTGGAAGCCACTTTCATAGATCCCCCAACTTCATCTAGTTGAGGTTCAATAATTTGAGAAAGAAAAGGTGCTAGAAGGAGTATCTTAGTTTTTTTGATGTCCTCATAACTCCTTGTATCTTCTTGCCCTCTCTCAATGACCATTTTACCTGCTTAAGACATAAGAGTAGAAGTGCAGCGTTGTGCACTTTATTGATTGCCCACTTCCAGCAAGATTGAACTTCTAACTAGAATGAAAGACAGTGAGCTGAAACCTGGTACAGCCGCTCTCATCAGTAAATATGGCATGAAACATGTTTTAATCTTGAGTGAGTCACTTTGTTTGGTACTCACAACCAGCCCCAGTGACAAGTGTTAACGGGTCACTCTAAAACCAAGTTCTCTGCTGGCCTTCACCTAATTTCCAGTGAATGGCAATTTGTGCTGAAATTTCAGCACAAACACCAACTCATTTTAACCTCCAATTCTAGGAAATGTGGGGGATGATTCTTTCATTTGCAAGGAAGTCCAAAACTCTGGACCCTCATAATACAAGGCAGTCATTAAAACATCCTAGCTCAGCATAGCTAGAACGTGGAACTCATGACCAAAAGGAGGGGTTTTGGAAAATAGTTTAGATTTAGTTAATGGACCTAGCTAAGTGTGTGAAGAAGAAATGAATAGAAGGAAATGTTGATAATAATTTGCAATAAATACAACAGGAAATAATGCAACAGCATATACTTGTGGAATTGAATGGCTTGTTTATGTATTGCAAATTTGACACAAAGACATATAAGGTTTTGGAGTAGATCTGTAGCTCGGGTTGTGGTTGTTGAGGTTGGTTGGCTCGCAGAGCTGGTTTGTTGTTCCGCAGATGTTTAGTTACCGTGCTTGGTAACATCCTCAGTGCAGCCTCTGATGAAGTGTCGGTGTGTTTTCCCACCTAGTTTTTAAACTCTGGGGTCCGTTACAATGGATTGCCTCCATAGTGGAATGTATACGGGGACGAGTTCAATATGTTGTAGATCTGTAGCTCTGATTGTGGGTGTTGAGGTTGGTTGGCTCACCGAGCTGGTTTGCTGTTCCGCAGACGTTTCGTTACCCTGCTTGGTAACATCCTCAGTGCAGCCATTGAACTCGACCCCGTATACATTCCACTATGGAGGAAACCCGGAAGTGAGGCAATCCATCGCAATGGACCCCAGAGTTTAAAAACCAGGTGGGAAAACACACCGACGCTTCATCAGAGGCTGCACTGAGGGTGTTACCAAGCACGGTAACGAAACGTCTGCGGAACAACAAACCAGCTCGGCGAGCCAACCAACCTCAATAGAAGACATATCTCACACACACAAAGCTGGAAGATGCATTTCAGTTTTCCACCAGTTGTTTGTGATTGAATTCACTTTTTACCTGAACCAAATCAATGTGGTTGACCTTTTCTTTTATATCCAGAAGTCCTCTTACACACAACTGAACGTTCTTTTATCCCATCACTGTATATTTTTCATCCATTAACCACTACCATTAAATCACCCATGTTTTCCAATTGATTGATTTCCTTACAAGCCCATTGAGGGCAACGCAGACCATCAGAGGTGAGGGAGAGATAAGGAGAGAGGGAGGGAGCTAAATCAAAATGGAGTTAGGAGAGACAAAGCACTCTATATCTGAGGTTATAGACTTGCTTGCCAAGACAGTGTGTTTGACTTAAACGTTTCGTCATCCTCCTAGGTAACATCGTCACCACGCCTCGGTGCGGTCACCAGAGATGCACTGATGATGTTACCTAGCAGGGTGACAGAATGTCTGCAATCAAACACACCGGCTTGAGGAGCAAGTCTACAACCACATCCACAACCCGAGCTACAAATCTTCTCAAAAACTTTAAGCACTCTGCCCCCTGCAGTTCCCACCTCTCTCGAAAAGCATTGGGATTATTGGTGAACACGATGTACTCCGTCTCCAAGGACACCCAAGCCTGAACATAGCTGCAGAAGAGGTGCAGACAGTTGGCATCTATAAATGCCTCCAATGCTGCTGCCTAGGCCTGGTAATGGCCAACTTGACCAGGCCCAGAAGCAGACCCATGACTTGCCCACACTGGATGCCCAAAGATTAGGAACATGGGGCCGAAGTGCAACAAAAGATTTTTCAAATAACTTTAAAGGGGGTGCAATCACCCACAACCAATATATACATAGTCCATGTACTGCACAGCATCATAAACAAACAGTTGGGCTGGGAGTCCATGAACCATTGCAGTCTGCGGTTACATGGGACTGCTGTGTGCAACACCCTCAACCCCGGGTCACCAATGGAAAAAGTGGGAGGATTCCTGCATGCAGAGCCATCCACTGGGGCTTTCTACAATGGTCTAGCAAGCTGCTCAATTCAAGGACAATTGGGAATCGGCAACAAATGTTGGCCTTGTTAGCAACATCCATATTCTATCAAATAATGAAAAAAAAGTCCTTTCTTAGACAAGTTAAACATTGTAGCAATGATGCTTCAAGGTATTGCATTGATTGTAAACTTTGGAGCTTTATGAGATCAAGATGGGTGCAACAAATATCAATTTTTTTTTTACCAAAAGGCAATATATTAATGTATTCCCTTTGGCTTCCTTTAGAAGCATTGCTCATGATTAAACATACTTTCATCATTCATTTGTTTCTAACACAGTTGTTCTTTTTCTAAAATATTGTTTTGTATTGATTAATTGTTTCTAGCGATAGAAAAACAATCTGAGTGGATGACTTTCAAATCTTTTCAATGACGTCTGCGTCTACTTTTTGTTTTAAATGCAATCAGCTGGTCTAGACTGGTCACTCAAAATAACTTCATGTGCTACGTATTCAAAAGAACTTTGCATGGATATTAGCAACAGAAAAGGGTAACTCTTGCCAAGGGAGATTGGTGAACAAAGGTTTTCTTGCTGGAATGCCCCACTTATTCTCAAACAGAACTATGACAACATGACTTTTGCAAGATCAGGAATCAAATGTTTGTGTAATTACCGTGGATGCACACTTTCTGCAAATGCTCCTGTCCTCAGTTTCAGCTGCTCCACTTCTGCCCTTAGCTTGCCAATTTCATTGGCCAGTCTCTCCTGTGTAAGACAGAGATCTGCATGTTAGATATAACTGCCAGAAACATACAAAGAAAAACCTTTGATGTGCAATACTGTTTCACCAGATTAACATTTATATGTGGAACCGTTAGCTATCATATAAACAATACTATTTTCTTGAAAATACTCTGCTTTAGATGTGCTATCATAGCTGCACCACTGTACAGGAAAAGACAGAGAAATTATGCAATAGAAGCAGCAATGATATGGTTCATCAGAAGAGACTCTGAACATGCATCATCTGACAGATGAAAGATAAGGCTGCAAACAGGCTGTCTGAAAAATGCCAAGAAGATGGAAATTGTGGAAACAGGGCCTTGCTGGCCACAGAAGTTGGAGGTGGTGAATAAGAATGATGTGGAGGTGCTAGTATTGGACTGGGATGGGCAAAGTCAGAAGTCACACGACACCAGGTTGTTGTCCAAAAGGTTTATTTGAAATCATAAGCTTTTGGAGCATAGCCTCTTCATCAGGTGAAGCCCTGACGAAGAGGCTACGCTCCAAAAGCTTGTGATTTCAAATAAACCTGTTGGACTATAACCTGGTATCGTGTGACTTGTGAATAAAAGTGGCATTAGACATGGTGGTCATATATAATTTGCAGCACGAGCTCAAAAATAGCATCGGCAGCACAAACAAGCTTTTGAAGGTGGGTTAAATGCCAATGTGTATGGATTTGTACAGACATGCAGAAAAATGTACTTTGCGTAACCTTCCAAAACACTTCCAGAGACAAATCTCAGGGAATTCAAGACATTAACTGACCATTCAGTTTATGCCAGATGAGACAGCAGGCAGAATAAAGATCTGTTCAAATATGGAACGTTTTCCTCGACATAATTTCCTAACGGAGACATGCATCTCAGCTTGATTATTCCAATTTCCCGAGTTTGCTTGATTTGTGTTATCTGGGTTAGCATTGTGAATAGAAGCCTGCTGTTTCCTCTATGGAGTCAACCTACAAAATTACAAACCAATCTGTAACTGAAAAAAAAAACCGAAAGAACCTCAAGGCTGCTAGCTTACACTTGCTATATCAGCAGCCTAAAGGTTAATGGGTTTTGAGACCCAGACATGTATTTCAATTCTTTGTCTGAATATTACATTAGCAGATTTTCAAAATGAGAGTTTTAGCACCTTACAAAAAATAAAAATACACATTTTTAAGAGCCACGTTATTTCATCTAACTGGATGTCAAGAGAAATTATTTTACATTGAATTGTACAGTACCTGATCCCACAACAGGTTATTAAAGAGCTTTTGAAAGTAGTTCCAATTTATTAGGAAACAGTTTCAGGAACTGAAAGTGTTGTGCATTACATTGGTTTTAAGGCAGACTCAGTTGCTCTATGCTGTTATGGGTTGGTTATTAATTTCCTTTCTTCAGGACACCCTTCTCCTTTAAATCTATCATCGTCACTCCTCTTGTCAGAATCAACCATCAACCATTTCTTCCTTGTAAACCATCCCGATTTCCCCTTCCTCACTAAAGTCCTTGAACATATCCATATCAAGATGTTTCATGTCAAAGTCAAAAATGATATCCTATGTGATTGGGCCAACAGTAAACAATTCCTGTTCCTCTTCTTGATTCATCTCTAATATCTGACACAGTTGGCCAGACCATCCTCCCCCAGTGCCTCTCTATCAACTTGTAGGACTACACTCATCTCATTCCTTTTCAATTTCACTGTAGCCAGAGCATCAGCTGTATTGACTTCTCTTACAACTCCTGAACTGTTATATCTGTGGTACCTTATTGGTCTAACTTTGGCCCCGTCCCATTTCACAGCAACACGTAGCCTTTCAACAATATCGTCCAAAGCAAAGCAAGAGTTTGCATATATATGTTGATGACACTCAGCTTGACTCATCCACTGTCACCAATTTTTCAGCTTGATGGATTAGAAAAGATTTACTTCAACCAATTATGTAGAAGACTGGAGTCATTGTTTTCAGTTGCCACCACAGGTCTGTTCCATGGTCACTGATTTCATCAGTTTCCTCAGCAACTGTCTCAGATTAAATCAAACTTCCTCAACCTTGGTACCGTGTTCAGGCACAAGATGATCGACTGACCACACAGGTACATCATCACTAAGTTCCAATCGTTTCTCTCTCAAAAATATTACCCTATTCCATCTTCCTTTAGCTGAGCTGTTGCTGCACCCTTCAGCCATGCAGTTACTTACTTCTAGATTTAACTATTCCAATACATATCCCCACCTTATCTTACCTTTTGTAACCTACAGACTTTCCAAATTGCTGCTGCCTGTCTCGCAGAAAGTCCCATTTACACATTGTCCTCTTTGCTCATAACATATCTTGCTCCCCAGTTAAGGAGTGACATCATTTTAAAATTGTCATCCTCATTTCTAACTCCCTCCGTGGCCTAGCCCCACCTTTGTTGGTTATGCCTTCATGCCCAACAGCTGCTAAGGGAATTAAAGGTGCTATCCAAATACCAAATCCAAATACTTATGCAGCTATCTTGGTGCTCAGCATTTCTGTGACCTATACTGGCAAAGGGAGGGAAAAAAAGCCAATCTCCCAACGTGAAGCTGTAAGGTTCCTGTTGATAGACAACAACTTTACCCCAGTAATGGTCAGGGGTTGTGAATTCTATGGCGAACATGTTTCTAATGCCTGCCCATCATCTACAAGAGGGTGTTGCAATACTTCATTTGCCTCATTGGATGGCACTCAAGACCCACCACAAATTAGCCTTTTATTTTATTCATTCATGGATGAGGGCATCACTGGCTAGGCAGCATTTATTGCCCATCCCTAATTTCCCAGAGGGCAGTTAAGAGTCAATCACATTGCTGTGGGTCTGGAGTCACATGTAGTCCAGACCAGGTAAGGATTGCAGTTTTCTTCCCTAAAGGACATTAGTGAACCAGATGGGTTTTTCCGACAATCGACAATGGATTCACAGTCATCATTAGATTCTTAATTCCAGATATTTATTGAATTCAAATTCCACCATCTGCCGTGGTGGGATTCGAACCCACGTCCCCCAGATGTTATCCGGGTCTCTGGATTAACAGTCCAGTGATAATACCACTAGGCCATCGTCTCCTCTTGATTGATACTCCATCCACCACCTTCGACATCACTCCCTTAACCACCAACCCCTATTACCTAGAAGGATAGGGCAGCTTCTACAGAAAAACACTAAATACCTCCAAGTTCCCCTCCAAGCCTGACTGTATCACTGTTCCTTCATTGTCGCTGCATCAAAATCTGTCAATTCCTCCCAGCACTGTGGGTAATCTTACATTCCAAGGATTGTAGACTTCACGAGGATGGCTCAGTACCATTTGTGTGAGGGTAACTGGGACAGGCAATAAATGAGACGAGCCAGTGATGCTCACATCCCATGAATGATCTTCTTTTTGAAAATAAAGCAAATAAGGAACACTAAATATTTAAAGACAAAAGGCAAACATTGACATGCCCTTTTTTCCCGAGGAGTCAGAGAGACTTGTACCTTGTCCTGATGATATTCCTCAAGTTGTTTTCTTGTACTTTCCACTTCTTGTATTAATGTGTTCTGAAAGGTGAAAATGAAGATAATAGAATTTAAGAAATGAAACTTTGGCATTAACTTAGTTATCTTAAACTGTGTCTAATGTTCATTTAACTGGAAAGGTAACATTATGAGAGAATGAAATCAAACAGACAAAACAACCATTGCTGTCTAAGCACGTCTAACAGGAATGTACCTGCAGTGTTGGGCAGTTTGATCATTGCACTGAAATTAATAGAAACATCAAAATATATAATTAAATCATCATTGTTGTAATCTTTAACTTTAGCAGCAGGAATTTATACTTTTATAGTACAGGGTGGAAAACAAAATCATTTACCTCCAAAAACAAAATGTCAAAGGGCTTCTACGTTACTAAATTTAAGACCACCAAGTAAGCTGCCTTTATAATTTCTACCCTTATCTCTCTGTCCATCTTGCAAAACCTGCCCTAAAGTTCTCCTCTAATCAATCCTCAAACCCATAAACTCTTTCTAATTACTTTGTCTCTTCTAATGCATCTCTGACTTCATCCTGTGTACTAGGCACAATTTGATTTCAGAATTTTCTTGCCTGATATCTTACTGGATGAAACACAATTACTTGAAGTTAACTATTGGGAAGACTAAAGCCATTTTCTTCAGCCCATCAATTCCACTCCACTCTAGTTCATGGCCTCGCATTGAACCAGATTAGTTGTAACTTTAGCATCCCATTTGACATAAGCCAATTTGCTGACCTCATACCATCTATTTCATAAAGACCACCTACTCCTACCTCCAAAATATTTCTGTTCCTGCCTGTCAGTGCCTTCATCCATGCCTTTGTTACTTCCAGACTCACCTATTCCAGTGCTGGAATCCTGTTGTCCTCCTTGTATAAACCCAACATTATCCAAAACACTGCCGTCTGTACACTTTGCCTCATCCGTTCATCCATTCCCGATGTCCTCTGACATAGATAGTTCCTGAGTTTTCAGCATCATACTTTTAAACACCTCATCCTTCTTAATTTATGACTGCACTCCAACTCATCAAGAACTATCAGTTCCACCCACACTGGCCTCTTGTGCATCCTGAAATTCCTTTGTCCTTCAGCAGCCATGCCTTCAACCAGCCACACCTCAAGACTTAAAATTCCCAATCTTTGCCTTTCTTCCTCAATATTAAGACACTGTTTAAACCTAACCTTGGCTAAAACGTTTGGTAATGTTTCCTAATACCTCCTTTGGTTGTGTGATAATATTTGGCTAGATACATTTCTGTTAAAAGCCTTGGGGCATTTTTCCAAATGAAAGGCTCTTGCAGTTTTTGTGAAATGTCCATCTTTCCACAGACATGTCAGACTAGACAAACAATCCAAAGGATTAAACAAAGATTGAGCCTCAGTCACCTGGACAATAATAAATTTGACAAGGAATTGTGAAGAACACATCAATGCCAATCAATTATACTTCCCTCTTGCATCTTGTTTCCTTTTTATTAGCCAACCATCACAACTTCCAATGGTTTTGCATATTTACAGTCTAGGCAATTTATTTGGGTTAGACAGTAGTAGATGTTAGGGTTAACAGAATCAAGATGGCAAAGTAAGGCAACGATATAAAGAACAGGAGTGAGGAAAAAAGTAAAGAGGTTAGAGAAGACATCTGGAATGGAAGAGAAGGGAAAGGAAAGAGGCAGAGGAGGATAGGGAGAAAGCAGCAGGAGATGACTCAGAAAGAAGAGAGTAAGAGAAAGTGAATGGAAAGAGAATGAGGGTCAAATTAAGGGAAATTTCTGATTTTGAGATGTGCACTAGGCAGTTATTGAGAAAGAGACATACAGCCAATTTTGTGAAATTTGCAAGAATTGATCGAGGTGAAATATATAGTCAAAGTAGAAGGTGGTTACCGTAAAGATGTAATGGTAGGGACAGTGGTGGGGAATTTACAAAAGGCAATGGAAAGTTAGCAGCCAGGGAATGACAGCCAGTAGATGAGCTGAAAAAGAAGAAATATAAATAGAGCAGAATGGAGAGATGGGTACAAGCTTTGACCTTGAGGGAGGATGAAACAGATCCAAAACTTGCTGAAAGGATTATGGGTGGAATGAGGGTATGATAGGTGGTAGTTTACGGCCAAATCTTGACTGGACTTGATTTTTAAAAAAAAAATTGTCAGATGGTAAAGGCTAAAATATTGGTAGAGGGAGGGGTGGAAAGACTAGTTGGAGCTGAAGTCCACATTACTGTTCATGGGGGAGGAGTTGGGGGATTTTCATAAATCTATATTTTCACTCAGTGCAGACCATGACAAGAGATAAATTATTCTTTGGCAGTGAGGAGTACTGTTGTGGCTTGAGCAATTAGAGAGAGGAGTTGGGAGGAAGCAGGGCTAAAATCTTGCTAAATGAGGGTGGAGAGGTTCTGAAAGCTTGCTACTCATTATGTTGCATTCTGTCCAAAACCACAGGCATCAGTGTGTTGGCAGCAGCATTTTCAGGTGTAAGACTTCAAAAAAGATTTGAGATGGCTCAATTTTTAACCAATAGCACTTTTTGCCCATTTAGTAACCCCCTGGAAACCAAGAATTCATTAATCACAAATAAGAATATTTATTCACTGAATTTGCTATCAGATTATGTTTAATGAGATCAAGCAGCACAATACTTTTGTGTATTGTGGTGTTACTGTCAAAATGGTATAATGAGACAATTTCTTTAAAAATAAATAAAAACTGTTATGATGGTAGGATGAAGTTAATGCTCATTTTGTTTTATAGATGGGCCAAACACAAGCTGCGTGAAGTTGGCCATACAAGTCAGGTTTTTTTTTTGTGTCACCAGTCTGAATTAGAGGTGATGAAGAATTCAATACGGAATGAGGTTGGATTGTTGAATTGAATGCCAAGTACCATAATGTGGTCTTACTGTTTAAACTCGCTTTTGTAATTTATTGATCCATGTGTGAGGAACAACAAAGTCTTCAATGATGCTAACCTTTGGGAATAGCTTAGGGAGGCAAATATAATTTGTATGACTTGTCTCGCAGGCAAATAAAATTATACTAAGCTAATAGAATGAACAAAAAAATTAGTAGCTGTGAATGGGCTTGATTAAAAGGAAACAGAACACAGCAGTTCTCAGGAAAAAATGAACAGCACAAGAGGCATGTTATATCAGAATTCATAATTTATCAATTGACAGTACCTCTTTTCATATAAAGTTTGCTAATGAGACCAACTTTATCACTAAAGTGACATGGTGAACAATATTCTGAGAAACCTGGATCAATGCTAATAACATCTGGAATGGGAAACCTTCAAACTTTCGCATCCAAGATAACTCACACCAGCACTAACCTTTCCTTTTAATAAAAACACATCAAATGCCTTCTTGCACTGTTCCAAAAGGATGAACAGGTAATGCTATCAATGCCTTTACAACCACCTGTCCTCCTTTTTAGCAATTATTATTCAGTTCCCCCTTTTTGACTTGAAAACTAACCTTGAATCATGGACCAAAACTCGAAGCCTGCTCCACATGTATTAAATCCTGAAATCTTTTTCCTAATTTCCAATCTCTCTCAAATCTGACAAGTTTTGGACTTGGTCTCTCATCTGAGCTATGCTTATTGTCTAAATAGATTGTTCACTTTAACTTCTTTTACCTGCCTCACCTCGCTAACCTTCTTTTCCATCTTTGAACACTTAATGCGTCTCAATCCTTAATGAGCTAAGGTGTGACCCCAAAACTGTGCTTGATGCTGTAGGACATGGCTCACCACTGATTGATACTGTCTCAATAATACTTACTGTGCTCTGTAATCTGCTGGAGACTACATTACACATGTCAAGAAGGTGGTTCAAAAGAATGATATGAAGACACAGTGGACCCTGTTAAATAAAACTGATGCCACTGGAAGTAAACTTACACAAAACATTAAAAAGCACTAACCTTTTCTGGAACAATTTGCTGTCATCAAAGTCAAATTTTAACATTAAACTGCATATTGTGACTGAGGAACCACTTGCAGTATCACAACATAACCACTAGATGCCATGCGCCATTACTTGTCCCGGAACTGGATGTGATGCACTTAAATGATGAAGAATGTTTCTGACTTAATCATGACAACCAATGCCTGTCAAATAAACTATTCATGCTTTCATTGCAAACCTTTGGAAGCACAAGGTCCTGGCTTCATGGTGTCAATTCACATTTGCATTCCCCAATCTATACAGAATTGTGTTCCTGCTGTTGTAGACAACACCTTGGTCACTCTGAATTTGACTACTCCATGTCAATGATATTTTACCAGTTGACTATTGTCAGACACCGAGTGGTGCCTTGGCAACATTAAACGTAGTTTGTAAACTATATAGATCTCGGAAGCAGGGCTCAGAAAACAAACAGAAATCGCACAGCAGACTGAATATTAATCTAATTTTCACTGTCCTGCAGCTCTAAATATACTGCTCGTCAAATCTATGGGAAAATCCCACTGATTTATTGTCATTTCGCTTGTATTTGTTTCCACTATTAAAACAGGATTATTTGTATTAGCCTGTGCATGCTCCTGGCTTAAAAATGGTCATCGCCATAAAACAGCTGCTTCTCTTTTCATGGAGATAACAATTGCTACACACAATATGAGTCTGAAGTGGTGATTTTGTTTTGGTTTATATTGACTTTAAGGTTGACATTCAACTTAGAATGGAACAATTTTGAAAGGCAGGCCTTCTTTCTGATCATGTGATCGATTTCATATTTTGACTAGGTTCTATTTACCAGAGCACAGAGAAACACCTCTACCTACATTCCTTCCATTCACCAGTTTCCCTGAAGACAGGGATCATCATGTCCACCTACATTTGCTCCATTCACCTTTCTCCCTGAACACAGATCACATGGATCACCATATCCACCTACATTCTCTTCATCCACCAGCCTCCCCTCCCTGAGCACTGAGCACTACCTCCACCTACTTTTTCTTCCAGAGCAGCCATTCGCTCCTTCAGGTGGAGCTGGAGCCTTTCGTTTGATTCCGAGAGCAGTCGATCCACTGTGTCTGACAAACGTTTGTTATGCTCTTCGTTCATCTTTTCCCGTTGGCGAGCCTACGGTCATGAATAGTCATAATTAATTATAAGCAAAACTTAATTTTCCTTAAGCCTACTTGGTCAGATATCCTCCCAGAGAACAAATTGGGTTTTTATGACAATCTGCCAACTGTTTGGTCATTCTTTCTAATAGCAGCCATAAATGAGCAGATTTATAAAACTCAACTTCATCATTTACCATGGTGGGATCTGAACTCACTAAATTGGAGTTGTTGATTGAATACCATAGACACCATGATGCTGTACTTTTTACATGTTGAAGTTGTTATAAATTTAGATGCAGCCTAGCAGTACAAAAGTTCTATTTTAATAAAATTGGAAATTATTCTCAGGAGAGAGTACGGTAGAGTAGTAAACTCACTGGAAAACTAATCCAGAAGCACAATATGACTCCATTCCCAGTTAATTCATGGTTAACTCAACTCTCCTCTGCAATAGCCTGATCAGTTCAAAAGTATTAGGGATGGGCAACAAATGCTGGCCTTGCCACCAATGTCCATAACACATAAAAGAATAAATGTCACCTACCTTTATTGAGTTCCCTCTCATTTGCTCTGCTTTTCCTGATAATACAACCTTTCCCTAATTAATGCAACCTGTCATAAAGTCATACAGCATGGAAACAGGCCCTGTGACCCAACTCATTCATGCAAACCAGGTTTCCTAAATTGAACTAGTCCCATTTATCTGCATTTGGCCCATATCCCTCCAAACCTTTCCTCTCCATGTACCTGTTAAAATGTTTTTATATGTTGCAATTGTAACTGTCTTTACCACTTTCTCTGCAGTTTCCTTGAACCACTGCAGTCCCTGTTAGTAATCAATAGTAATACCACTTTTCCGTTCTTTCCTTCTTGGATTTGTTTTTCTATTGTGGATTTAGGAGCAAGTTTAAAACTATTAGGTAGTCACAAAAACAGAACTTAACATTTACATTACAAACAGGACAGTTAAAGGGAAACTGGTAGATTTAACATGTTTGGATTTCTACAAGGTATTCAGAAAGATACTGCTTACAGGCTACATGATTAGAACACATGGTATTGGATATGGTGCATTATGGAAAGAGGATTGTATAACTAATATGAGAGAGAATTGGGATAAGGGGAGCATTTTTAAGATGGCAACATGTATCTAGTGGAGTGCCACAGGGAGCAGTGCTGGGGTGACAATTATTTACAACATACATGACTGACTTCAATGAGGGAAGTGAACGTTCTCTATCTCTGGTTCAGTTGATTCCCTAAATGTATGTATTTTATCTTCTATCACTGAATTTCTTCAATTCTTCCTTAGTTTTCAGCTTCTTCATCCCCAACTGTTCTCACAAAGCTTTGAGTTGCTGGCCATTATATAAATAAGAATTGATGTGCATGAAGACATCACGGTAAAGATTCTCAGAATAATGATTACATAAGATAACAACAATCTGGTGAGTTGCCATTTTCATGCAGAAGCTGCTGAGTGTTCTGTTCTGTGTCATATTGAAGCCATAGTGATTAACACATTAGAAGATATCACATAATTTAATTCCAAACTTTCCCAAGATGTTTTCCATTCAAACTACATGTCATTTCTACTCTTCTATGAGAAACAATATAAGACTTACCCTTGCTAGTTCTTGATTTTTTTCTTCCAACTGTCCCTCAAGTTGTCTTAAGCGCTCTTCTATGCTCCCATGCCTCTCTTCTGCCTAACAGAAAGGAAAATGGAAGGTTATTATTGATTCATACAGTTGTTTTACTTGGTCAAGGATGATACTGAACTTGAAGGTACTGATATTGATACTGAACTTGAAGGTACTATATGACCATAATTGACCTTGCCTTCAAGACAAATCAAAACTTAGCTATCTGTATTCAAGGGAAATGTGTTTTCAGACAAGTTACCCAATTTACCACACATCACTAATTTTCGGCATTTCCAAATCATTTCAAAATATCACTCATCTTTTGAGAACAATTTTAGTCACATCAAAGTGAACAAGAGCACAGCAGGTTGGATCATGGATAATCTTTTTTTGGACTATCTGCTGACTTGAATGTTGATTTGACTTGAAGGTGAGCCATTATTGTTGGAGGAAAGCAAGGAAAACTGACTTATAGTCTTTAGTATGTAAGTATACTCATTTTGAAGGCTGCTCATTTATAAGAATGCACACTCCAACTAAATGAGTGATGCGCATTCAGAATTCCTCTAAATTTTCCACTCTGAAGAGAGTTCTAGATTTGCACCACTGCTAGAACTGCTTTCTGTCCAGCTTTTACTGTGCTCTGGAGGAAGGTGCACAGCCCTATGCAGGAACATTGGAATTGCCAAATAGAAAAGGATCATGGTATACCTAGTATGTTTTCGATCATTTTGAATGTAACATGGTACAATGATAGAACTGTTGACTAGTTGAAGTATTTAGTTAATTATCAACAAGTCAGTAACTGACATAGAATGAGGTGAGGTGAACTTGTCATGGAAACAGGACAGCCAAAGTCATCTGTTCCTCTTAAAAAGGTTATGCTTACCAAACAGTATGCTTCAAATTACTCAGGTACTATATGCTAAAATACTACTTTCTGAATTTTAAATTTAAAGGTACAACATTCCTTCATTTTAACCACAAACTGGGAACCATTTTCTCTTCTCATAATCAAGCTAGTTTGGGGAGTGGTGTTGTTCCAGTGAGTCTTTTGCACAAATGCCCCTTCCTCATTTAAACTATCAGAAATGCATAGGATGGGGTAGAAGCTGCCTCCTGATTTCAGGACCACAGCCAGCAACAATCCAGGCAGCATGGTTAGCAGGGATAGTAGGA